TATATATAATATAAGTATTTATATTTAGGGTTTTTGTGTATGTACCCCCAATAGTTGGGGTTTGCGGGGGTCGAGTCACGGCTCCGGCCCCCCCTTTTCACGGGGCCCTACGGGGCCCATTTTTCCCACCTATAGTTTTATATACCTCCTTAAAGCTATTATGGATCCTGCTCCACTTCATCACTGCCTAGGGATTCCCTTTCCTGACAACCCTTTACTGAGGAAGTATTTCTAACATCCCGTGATTTTATCTGATCTTTTATCTTCCCCAAATTGTCCCCCTTGTTTTCTATGGCCATCTCTGGAAATACTGTCTCTTTCCACCTTGTCGATTCCTCTCAGTATTTTATATGTCGTTATCATATTCCCTTATCTCTCCTGTCTTCCAGTGTTGTCAGTTCGATTTCATTTAACCTATTCTCGTAGGACATACCACTTAGCTCTGGGACTAGTCTTGTTGCAAACCTCTGCGCTTTCTCTAGTTTCTTCACGTGCTTGGCTAGGTGTGGGTTCCAAATTGGTGCTGCATACTCCAATATGGACCTAACGTACACAGTGTACAGGGTCCTGAACGATTTCTTATTAAGATGTCGGAATGCTGTTTTAAGGTTTGTTAGGCGCTCATATACTGCAGCAGTTATTTGGTTGATGTGCGCTTCAGGAGATGTACCTGGTGTTATACTCACCCCAAGATCCTTCTCCTTGAGTGAAGTTTGTAAATTGTGGCCCCCTATACTGTACTCCTTCTGGGGTCTTCTTTGCCCTTCCCCAATCTTCATGACTTTGCCCTTGGTGGGGTTGAACTCCAGGAACCAGTTCCTGGACCAGGCCCGCAGCCTGTCCAGATCCCTTTGAAGTTCTGCCTGGTCCTCGTCCGATTGAATTCATCTCATCAACTTCACATCATCTGCAAACAGGGACACTTCGGAATCTATTCCTTCCGCCATGTCGTTCACAATTACCAGAAACAGTACCGGTCCTAGGACTGACCCCTGTGGCATTCCGCTTATTACTGGCGCTCACACTGTATGTGTATGTGCGCATGTGTATGTGTGTATGTGTATATGTATGAGGGTATGTGCATATACTCTCCTAATTGTCCTCACTTAATTGTAGTTGCAGGGGTCGATACTCAGCTCCTGGCCCCGCCTCTTCATGAACGTTACTAGGTCCTCTCTCTCCCTGCTCCATGAACTTTATCATATCTCTTCTTAAAGCTGTGTATGGTTCCTGCCTCCACTACATCACTCGCCACTGTTCCACCTCATGGCCACTATGACTGAAGAAATACTTCTTAACATCCCTGTAACTCATCTGAGCCTTCAGCTTCCAAGAGTAACCCCTTGTTTTTGTGTCCCCTTTCTGGAATATCCTGTCTCTGTCCACCTGGTCTATTCCACGCAGCATTTTGTATGTCGTTATCATGTCCCCCCTGACCCTCCTGTCCTCCAGTGTCGTCAGGCCGATTTATTTTAACCTTTCTTCGTAGGACATTCCCCTTAACTCTGGAACTAACCTTGTCGCAAACCTTTGCACTTCCTCTAATTTCTTGACGTGCTTGACCCGGTAGCGGATTCCAAACTGGTGCTGCATACTCCAGTATGGACCTGACGTACACGGTGTACAGTGTCTTCAAAAGATTCCTTACTTAGGTATCTGAACGCTGTTCTCAAATTTGCCAGGCGCCCATATGCTGCAGTAATCTGGTTGATGTGTGCTTCTGGAGACGTGTTCGGTGTTATACTCACCCCATGATCTGTCTCCTTGAGCGAGGTTTGCAGTGTTTGTCCACCTAACCTATACTCTGTCTGCGGTCCTCTTTGCCCTTCTCCGATCTTCATGACTTTGCATTTGGCGGGATTGAATTCAAGAAGCAAGTTGCTGGACCACGTGTCTAGCCTGTCCAGGTCTCTTTGTATTCCTACCTGATCCTCATCTGATTTAATTCTCCTCATTAACTTCACATCATCTGCGAACAGGGACACTTCTGAGTCTATCCTTTGTGTGTGTGTGTGTGTATGTATGTGTGTGTGTGTGTTGTGTGTGTGTGTGTGTGTGTGTGTGTGTGTGTGTGTGTGTGTTGTGTGTGTGTGTGTGTGTGTGTGTGTGTGTGTGTGTGTGTGTGTGTGTGTGATGTGTGTGTGTGTGTGTGTGTGTGTGTGTGTGTTGTGTGTGTGTGTGTGTGTGTGTGTTGTGTGTGTGTGTGTGTGTGTGTGTGTGTGTGTGTGTGTGTGTGTGTGTGTGTGTGTGTGTGTGTGTGTGTGTGTGTGTGTGTGTGTGTGTGTGTGTGTGTGTGTGTGTGTGTGTGTGTGGTGTGTGTGTGTGTGTGTGTGTGTGTGTGTGTGTGTGTGTGTGTGTGTGTGTGTGTGTGTGTGTGTATGTGTGTGTGTGTGTTGTGTGTGTGTGTGTGTGTGTGTGTGTGTGTGTGTGTGTGTGTGTGTGTGTGTGTGTGTGTGTGTGTGTGTGTGTGTTGTGTTGTGACTCACCTAATCGTGGTTGCAGGGGTCGATTCATAGCTCCTAGCCCAGCCTCTTAACTGATCGCTACTAGGTCCATTCCCTGCTCAATGAGCTTCATCATACCTCTTCTTAAAGCTATGTATGGATCCTACCTCCACTGCATGATTTTCTAGATATTCCACTTCCTGACATCTCTATGGCTGAAGAAATACTTCCAAACATCCCTGTGACTCTTCTGAAGCTTCAGCTTCCATTTGTGACCCATTGTTGCTGTGTCCCATCATTGGACCATCCCGTCTCTGCCACCTTGTCGATTCGTCTCAGTACTTTATATGCCGTTATCATGTCCTCCCTTTTGTCCCTTCTGTTCTCCAGCGTCGTCAGGTTGAGTTTCCCTAACTTCTTCTCGTAGGACATGCCCCTTAACTCCGGGAAAGTCTCGATGCAAAACTTTGCGCTTTCTCTACTTTCCTGACGTGCTTGGCCAGGTGAGGGTTCCAAACTGGAGCCCTGCACGGTGTACAGGGCCCTGAACGACTCCTTACTAAGATGTCGGAATGCTGTTCCTAGGTTCGCTAGTCGCCCTTATGCTGAAGCAGTTATTTGTTTTCCGTGTGCCTCACGAGATGTGCTCGGTATTATACACACTCCAAGGTCCTTTTCCTTGAGTGAGGGTTATAGTCTTTGGCCCCTAGACTGTACTCTATCTTAGGTCTTCTTTGCCCTTCACCGTTCTTCATGACTTTGCATTTGGTGGGGTTGAACTCCAGGAGCCAGTTGCTGGACCAGGCCAGCAGTCCGTCCAGATTCCTCTGTAGTCCTTCCTTGTCTTCTGTTTGTCTTCTGCAAACAGGGACATTCCTTCCGTCAAGTCGTTCACAAATACCAGAAACAGCACCGGTCCTAGGATTGACCCTTGTTAAACCCCACTTGTCACAGGCGCCCACTCTGACACGTTATCACGTACCATGACTCGCTTCTGCCTTCCCATCAGCTATTCTCTGATCAACTGCAGTGCCTTCCCTGCTATATTTGCCTGATCCTCCAGCTTTTTGCACTAGACTCTGTGTGGAACTGTGTCAAAAGCCTTCTTACAGTGCGAGAAAATGCATTCTACCCACCTCTCTCTCTCTCTCTCTCTCTCTCTCTTTCTCTTGTCTTACTGCTGTTACCTTGTTATAGAACTCTTATAGATTTGTGACACAGGATTTCCCGTCTCTGACTCCGTGCTGGTTGTCGTTTATAAGCTCATTCCTTTCTACGTGGTCCACCACTCCTTCCTGATAATCTTCTTCATGATTTTGCATACAACACATGTCAGTGACACTGGCCTGTAGTTTAATGCTGCGTGTCTGTTCCCTTCTTTAAAAACTGGTACTACATTTGCTGTCTTCCATACCTCAATTAGTCGCCCTTTTTCGATAGATGTGTTGAAGATTGTTGTAAATGGTACACAGACTGCCTCTGCTCCCTCTCTCAGGACCCATGGAGAGATGTTATCCCGCCCCATCGCCTTTGAGATATCTAGTTCGCTTAGCAGTCTTTTCTCCTCCTCCTCGTTGTATGTATTGTGCCATGTACTTGTTGGTGTATCCACCTCACCGTCTTTCTGGAATCTTTTCTGTCTCCACTGTGAATACTTCTTTGAATCTCATATTGAGCTCCTCACAATCTTGTAAACTCCCCTTCTTCCTTCCTCAGCCTGATTACCTGGTTCTCGACTGTTTTCTTCCTAATATGACTGTACAACAGCTTTGGGTCAGACTTGGCTTTCGCTGTTGTGCCATTTTCGCATTGTTGTTGGGTCTCCCTCCTTACCTATGCATACTCATTTCTTACTCTACGACTACTCTCCTTGTTCTAGTGGGTCCTTTGCTTTCTCTACCTCTTCCATTCTTTAACGCACTTGGTTTTGGCCAAGGGCTCGTCTTGGCCTTCTCATTGTTTCTGTTGCCCTCGGGTACAAACCTCTCCTCCACTTCCATGAATATTGTTCTCACACATTCCATCACCTCATTTACTGTTTTCCCTGCCAGTTCTCGGTCCCACTGAACCTCGTGCAGTGTGTGTGTGTGTGTGTGTGTGTGTGTGTGTGTGTGTGGTGTGTGTGTGTGTGTGTGTGTGTGTGTGTGTGTGTGTGTGTGTATGAATACGTAGAGACACGAATTGGGAAGAGTGCAACGGACAAGTGAAGTAGTAGCAGCAACACACACAGGAAGAGACATTCATGAGCTTCCTCAGCGCTCGGGCTTCTGTCCAAAGCTGAGGTACTTGCTGCCTCTGCACCTCCTGACATCGTCTGCTGCTATGCAGCTGCCACACTCTTCGAGCCCCGTGGGGGCGGGGGATGGGGCTAGGCCTGCGGACAGCTGGTCCCAGAAGACGAGGAGGTACTTGTACCTCCTCCCATGGCAAACATTAGTCTGAGACACTCCCATGACAGGGAGCCAAAGCCGAGCCACCTCTTGGAAAAGGCCCGGGTCGGGCGATTATACCGACGAATCTACAACAGAACAGACACGAATTGTTAGGAGTACTTACCTGTGTAGGTGGCGTGTAATTATGCAGGTGGTTGGTGTGAAGGTGGGAGGGAGAGCAGGCAGTGGGTGTTACCTCAGCCACACCTGCACAACACATGCCATCATCACCAGTGCGTCAACACTTGCAACACCACACGACCCACCTGCAACACAGCAACACTGGCTTAGTGGCTTACACACACTCACTCACACGCACACACACACACGCACACACACACACACACACACACACACACACACACACACACACACACACACACACACACACACACACACACACACACACACATACATACACTCACCAGTAAACAAGCCACGTCCTTCCAACGGGTCAACGCGGTGCGTGAGATGAGCGCGAGCGAAGATTGTGTTCTCGCGGTAGTAGACAGCGGCGATGGTCGCGGTGCAGCGCAGTTTGAGGTGCCCCTTCTGAAGATGGCTCAGCCGGGCGCGAAAGTGCAGACCGAGGATAGAAGTCTCCAGTCCCTCGCTGTTGGGTACTGGCGCATAGTCTATCAGAGACACACTATCCGCCTGAGGAAGGAATATCCAAGTTAAATTAAGGCAATATCAATCCTTCGCTGCGACCACCACGGACTGGGCTCAAATTGTCGTATCGAAATCCAGCTGACTCTCCGATAAAGCTTGAAAACTAAGCTGTGGGTTTCGATTCAACGTATGCATCCTCTTCATATTACTGTCACATTTCAACCTCCTGTTTGCTGTTGTCTAAATCTACCCTCTGGTCGGTAATAAACAGAAGAAACGATTGAACTAACAGTAGGAACGACTGATTTAACAGAAGGAACGACTGATCAAATAGAAGGAACGACTGATTAAATAGAAGGAACGACTGATTAAACAGAAGGAATGATTGATCAAACAGAGGGAACGACTGATCAGATAGAAGGAACGAATGATGACACAGAAGGAAAGATTGATGACACAGAAGGAAAGACTGATTAAACAGAAGGAACGACTAATCAAACAGAAGGAACGAATGATGACAGAAAAGGAGTGATTGATTAAACAGAAGGAAGAACTGATCAAACAAAAGGAACGAGTGATTAAACAGATCGGACAGGAAGAACAATTACTCAGAAATGAAGAATGATCAAGAAAACAGGAAGAACGATGAATGAAATGGGAAAAACGATTGATCAAACAGGAAGAATGATCAGTCAAACAGGAAGAATGATGAATCAAACGGGAAAAACAATGGATGAAACAGGGAGGGACCACAGAAAGAACCTCTAAAACAAAGTGACAACTCGACAGATCAAGAAACCATTCGCATAGGAAAAGAGAGAGAGAGAGAGAGAGAGAGAGAGAGAGAGAGAGAGAGAGAGAGAGAGAGAGAGAGAGAGAGAGAGAGAGAGAGAGAGAGAGAAGAGAGGAGAGAGAGAGAGAAAGAGAGGGAGAAGAGAGGAGAGAGAGAGAGAGAACCCGACTCTCTCTCTTCTCTCTCTCTCTCTCTCTTAGCTTTAAGAACAAGAATAAAAACAACAACAGAGCATGAAGAACAAGAAAAATAACAACAGCCTCAATAACACAATCGACACATGGCACAGCTGCAGCAACGAACAGAAAGAGAGAGAGAGAGAGTGATTGAAAAAAAAGAGAGAGAAAAAAACGGCAGGTTAGTTTCGAGGACACGCAGATAGGATTGCTTGGCCAAAGTTTTTCTCCAAGAGACGAAGAGAAGCAGGAGACGAGGAGACATTCTTTCTTCTGAGCCACCTGCCAATCAGTGACAGGAGAGAGAGAGAGAGAGAGAGAGAGAGAGAGAGAGAGAGAGAGAGAGAGAGAGAGAGAGAGAGAGAGAGAGAGAGAGAGAGAGTACATGGGAACGTGCACACTGAGGCAATCTGCTGAGTAGAACTGTCTATTTCGGTCTACAATAAGGACTATAGTGTATTATCTAGATAATACACTATAGTCACTATAGTCATTTTCTCTGACTCACACACACCTAGGTGTGTGTGAGTCAGAGAAAATGTAAAACTGGTCACTTTGCAAGAACTCATTTAAAATTAAATCCTTTCTAAAAATTTATCTTATACATTTAATTAAAGATATATTCTTTCATTGATATTAATGTAAAAATTTTTAATTTTGTACCAAAAGAACTTTAGAAAACTTATCTAACCTTATTATAACAAGGGCAATTTAATTAAGCCTAATCCTGCTAAATATATTTTGGATAAGTTTACAATAATTTAATACAAACACAATAAAATATATTTTTTTCGTTAGGTTCAGATTGATTTTTACGAAATTATTGAGTGCACAAATTTTCGCTTGCCTTATTAGGTAAGAAGAGCGTTGCTATTTAAACCAAAATCGCAAGTTTTACCTATTCAGCACAATATATATATATATATATATATATATATATATATATATATATATATATATATATATATAATATATATATTCTCTCTCTCTCCTCACCCTCTTTCATTAATCTGTAACATCCTCGGATTGTTTCACCCTTCACCACCTTTCTCTATACATTCTTCTCTCTTTCCATTGCTTTCTCTCTCTCTATCTCTCTCTCTCTCTTTGATAAAATAATGAAGATGGAAAGATTAAAGGTTCTTATTTCTTTCTCTGTCCCCTTCCTTATCCTATTCTTCCTTTACCCTCTTCCATTTTTTTTCTTATTTTTATGTCCTCTATACTCTTACTTCTTTTTTTTCATCCACCTTTCCTTTTCCTCATTGTCCTCCTTACCGCCTCTCATCCTCTCCCTTTCTCCAGCCTCCTCCTCCTTCTCTCCTCCTGTCTTCTTTTTATCCTCTTCATTCTCCTCTTCCTCGTCTAATCATTTCCAATCTTTCACCGCTGGTCATTCTCCTCTGCTTCTCTTGCTTCTCCTATTCCTCTCCGTAAAGTAACATCTTACCTCTCTTCATCTTCCTCTTTTCTCTTCTCCCTTCTATATTTTTCTTTTTACCTCCTCCCTCCTTCTCCTTCTCTTCCTCTTTTTCCTTTCTCTTCTCGTTCTTCTCTACCTTCTCCTCCTCCTTTTCCTTCATAAGACTTTCCCATCATCTTCAGTGATTGGACTAAACTTTCCCCATCACCTTCAGTGATTGGACAAGAATTTCCCATCACTTTCAGTGATTGGACATGAATTTCCTCTCACCTTCAGTGACTGGACAAGAATTTCCCATCACCTTCAGATTTCATCGTCCATCCCTCAGTGATTACGAAGTTTGAGGTGGACTTCATAACGCCTCCACTTCTGCCTCAACTTCCCCCTCGGCGTGCTCTGCTTGCCCTCTCCCAGCCTCTCCCCACATCCCCTCTTTCCCCTCCCTCCTTTCCCTTCGACCCTCCCTTCTCTCCCTGCACTGCTCCCTTCTTTCCCTTCACCAAACTCTTCGACATTTCCCTTCGTCTTCACCTCATCTTTCTTCACACCTCTGATGCATCCATTCCTTGTCATTCTAGCTGATCCTCGCTACTTCTTCCCTGCCTCCTTCTCCTCCTCTGAGCTCATCCCTTCTTTCTCCCTCGATTACTTCAAAAAGGAACTGAACACTGTTAGATCGTGATGAAGCGCGCGCCCTCTGCAAGATTATATAATGAACACCTTCAATGGCTCAACTTGGAGAGGTAGATGCGCGTGTGCATGACACTGGTGCTCCTGGCCAGGCAGCAGAAGGCGTGGCAGGCGCTTGAGAAGGTCTGCCAGATTGCTCCAAGTGACGAGTTTCGTTTCCTGGGTGGATGAGAAGCTGACCGTCATCCCCCACTGATTAAGTCACTCCAAAGTCCTCCATCTCCTCAGACTAGAACTCATCCATGGAAAAGAAATTTTTTGACCTGTTTTCATTATATCAGACGACCTCCCTTCCCCGTGCCACTTATCACGGTCATCGATGTAGAAAAGTTATTATTATAACAAGTTTGGCTTCATCTAGAGCTCTATTTACAGCGAAACGTCTCAAAAAGACGCATATATATTATATATATATATATATATATATATATATATATATATATATATATATATATATATATATATATATATATATATATATCCGAACCTTTGCCTAGAAAAACTAAATTATGCGGTTCTTGAGATCTGCTCAAGGCATATTCCAATAAGAAAAAGAAAGAGAAGATGTAAACTAGAAAGAGAGAAACGCTCCGTATACAGACGAAGACGAAGAGTCACAGAGCTGCTGAGAGGGGCCAATATATCTGAAATACGAAGGGAGGCACTGGTCAATGAAATTACAAATATCGAACTTAAGCTGAAGGAATCTTACAGGAGAAGAGAATTGCAGGAAGAACTAAGCGCAATAAAGAAAATGAAAAAAAAAATGCTTTTCTTGTGCCAAATCTAAGGGAAAAACAACATCCAGGATCGGGCCCCTGCTTACGCGAGATGGGACATGCACAGATGACAGCCATGAAATGAGTGAGATAATAAAGTCCCAATACGACTCTGTTCAGCGATCCGCTACCCAGACTAAGGGTCGACAATCCAAATGAATCTTTATGAATGAGACCCAAAATTTGATCATCCCAAAAATCTCGGATATTATCATAACACCACAAAACTTTGAAAAGACAATAAATGACATGCCCATGCACTCAGCCCCAGGCCCAGACTCGTGGAGCTTTGTGCTCATCAAGAACTGCAAGAAGCCCCTGTCGCGTGCCTTCAGCATTCTATGGAGAGGGAGCATGGACACAGAGGTCATCCCGCACACACTAAAAAACAAAAGACATAGCCCCACTCTAAAAATTTGGCAGTAAAGCAATTGACAAGAACTATAGACCGATAGCACTAACATCTCATATCATAAAATTTTTTGAAAGGGTTCTAAAAAGCAAGATTGCCAACAACCTAGATACCCATCACTTACACAACTCAGGGCAACACGGGTTTAGAGCAGGTCGCTCCTGCCCTTCCCAGTTACTGGACCACTATGACAAGGTCCTGGATGCTGTAGAGGATAAACAAAATACAGATATAGTATATACAGACTCTGCAAAAGCCTTCGACAAGCGTAACCATGGTGAAGTAGCGCACAAAATGCGTGATAAAGGAATAACAGGAAAAGTTGGTAGATGGATCTGTAACTTCCTGACAAATAGAACACAAAGTGTAATAGTAAATAGAGTAAAGTCTGAGGCAGTACGGTGAAAAGCTCTGCTCCACAAGGCATATCTGACATAGCCGGAGATGAACGCCATAGCTCCGTGTCTTCCTTTGCTGATGACACCCGAATTGTCATGACAGTGTCCTCCATCGAAAGCACCGCAAAACTCCAAGCGGACATCAACCAAATCTTCAAATGGGCCACTCAAAACAATATGAAGTTCAATGAAGAGAAATTTCAACTGGTCATATATGGAAAACTTGAGAAAATTAAAACTGTATCAGGGAATATAACAAATTCTAACCATACAATAGAGCGAAAAAGTAATGTGAAAGACCTAGGAATGATAATGTCAGAGGATCTCAGCCTTCAAAGACCATAACAATGTATCTACAGCATCTGCTAGGAAAA